GGGATTCGAACCCGCCACCTTAGGTGTATGTGGCTGGCGCCTTAGCCGCTTGAGCCACAGGCGCCGAGCCGCAACACACTATTCTTAGTAAAGCATCAGAAGAATCAAGAAGCACAAATCCTGGCTCAGTGCCTGTAGCTCAGCAGCTCAGGTGCCAGCCAGATACATGGAAGATGGCGGGTTTGAACCCCTGGGCCGGCCAAACAACAATGACAACTACAACCAAAAAACAGCCAGACACTGTGGTGGGTGCCTGTAGTCCCAGCTACTTGGGAGGCTGAGGCAAGAGAATCGCTTAAGCCCACAAGTTTGAGGTTGCTATGAGCTGTGATACCATAGCACTCTACCGAGGGCGATATAGTAAGACTCTATCTCCAAAAAAAAAGAAGCAGCAAGAATCCAGTGTACTCAATTCTAATATGAAGGCAGTACAAGGTAGAGGGTAGGGGAAGGAGGGATTGGGGAGTGGGGAAGAGGGAAGGGAATGGGAATCATGCTGTATGGCATACCTCTTAGGGACGGGACACAATTACAAGAGGAACTTTACCTAACACAATCACAATCAGTGTAGCCTACTTAACACAATCCGTGTAACTTAATTCTTTGTACTCTCGATGAATCTCAAACAATAAAAAAAAGAAAAATAAAAAAGAATAGAAATTTAAAAATAAAAATAAAAGTCTGCCAGAAGGGTTTTTTTTTCTTTTTTCCTTTTTTTACGGTTTTTGACCAGGGCTGGGTTTGAACCCACCACCTCCGGCACATGGGGCCGGCGCCCTACTCCTTGAGCCACAGGAGCCACCCTCTTTTTTCTTTTTTTGAAACAGGGTCTCAAGCTGTCACCCTGGGTACAATGCCATGGCATCACAGCTCACAGCAACCTCAAACTCTTGGGCTTAAGTGATTCTCTTGCCTCAGCCTCCCAAGTAGCTGGTATTACAGGCGCCCACTACAACACCCAGCTATTTTTTTGTTGTAGTCGTCATTGTTGTTTTAGCTGGCCTGGGCTGGGTTCTAACCCACCAGCCTCAGTGTATGTGGCCACTGAGCTACGGGCGCTGCCCTGCCATAAGGGTTTCTTGCTTATGTAAGCTGAAAATAATGAGTCCCACAAAATGATGTGTCATGAAAGGGGCACAACAGGGTGGCGCCTGTAGCTCTGTGAGCAGGACGCCCCCCCTCCCATATACCGAGGGTGGAGGGTTCAAACCCGGCCCCGGCCAAAGTGCAACAAAAAATACCTGGGCATTGTGGTGGGTGCCTGTAGTCCCAGCCACTTGGGAGGCTAAGGCAGGAGAATCGCCTAAGCCCAGGAGCTGGAGGTTGCTATGAGCTGTGACGTCACAGCACTCTACCAAGGGCAATAAAGTAAGACTCTTTCACTAAAAAAAAAAAAAGAAAAAGAAAAGAAAAGAAAAAGAAGGGGCATAACAGCTGAAGAAAAGTGACACTGAAAGTCCAGAAAGCATATTGACCTTTTTACTCTGGGTCAATAAGGCTTCAATCTCAGTTAAGACATGCAGGGGTTCCCATAAAGCACAGAAGAGAAAATGCAATGACACACAGGACAAAGCCCAACTGTGAGAGCCACATTATCCTCACCCAGGGAGACCAGGTTCCTGTAGTTCTCCAACATCACGGCCCTGTACAAAGCCCTCTGGGCAGGGTCCAGGCACTTCCACTCCTCCTGAGAGAATTCTATGGCCACATCCCTGAATGTCAAGCATCCCTAAAATCAAAAACAAGTTTCACCAGTGAGACATGCGGAGAAATCCTCTCTTCACAGAAAATGAGAAAAGCATTGTAATGACTTCGATTGAAGTGAGTGTTCTTAAAGATCCACATGGGCTCGGCGCCTATAGCTCAACAGGCTAAGGTGCCAGCCACATACACCTAAGGTGGCGGGTTC